TCTGTAAAGTAATTTGTAAAAAATTTTCCATTGTAAAATTGCTACATGAGAAGACAAGTTGTTAGATGAAATTCATATATTCTCTATGTTTGTGTTGTGTAGGTCAAAAAATAATAAACAAAGATGATATTGATTGTGATGACTAAGAGATTCATTTTAAGACGCATTAATCTTCATCATTTTTAAATAAAAAGGATAAATATTATGGATTTCCATTATCTTAAGCAAGTAAGTCTTTAGTTAACAATAATATTGTAATGTTTGTTGTAAAATGCTAACATGACTGTCAATATTAAAAAATATCATTCAAATGATGAGGTTCCAATTTTAACTTTAAATAATCACCTTTATAAAATCCATTATTTCAATATTATCCAAACTATAAATCTATGCAACAATCTTTCTTGTTTAACCCGAAATCTGAGAAAAATGCTAATATATATAATATAGCATTGCCACTATTAGGTATTTTACTGTCTATTAATTTTTCTCTGATTTAGGGTTAGATCAGTAAAGTTGTTGAATTGTTAAATTTATGTATTTTAAATTTATTTATTTACGTAGTTTAGTTAAGACTATGTAAAGTTTAATTATTGTAAATTTGTTTAGACTTTCAATATTGTGTGTTGCTTCTCTTAAATGAGATAAAAACCCATGGATGCAAAAAACTTAATATAAAATAGTGTGAAGAAGAAGTAGTAACTGAAATAAACAGCATAATAGAATTTGATAAGTTTGACTCAGCACTTGACAATGTTTCATCTAGTAACTCTGTAGTATCTCTGCAGTTGTAAATTGCTAAATACTGATTTGACAGATTTTTCTTTTTTTTTAAATTTTCTTTACAATATATAATTTTTACTACTTAATTAGGAATTGTCAGATTTCCATTATTTCTTTCTATTAGAAACAAAGAGTTCAAAATAATGGTGGTAAGAACTGTCAAAAACTTGTGATAGCCATGATTAAGAGGTTGTAAATTAAAAGTGCATTCTTTAAATACTCTGTTTAATTTTATAATGATATTACTCCCATCTTACAATCCATGATACAAATCCCATGCATGGCTCTACATTTGCTGTTTTACCATAATGGGATGACTGAATAACTGTGACTTTCATACGCGCAAACTAGCACATGTGCGAAGCAGTTACAAAAACTGGCACAATGCCAAACGGCATAAGTGCAAATGGGCATAACTGCACAAAAAGAATTCTAAACATTGACATAAACTGGCATAACTGCAAACTAGCATAAGGGCGAAATGCCAATTAGCACTTAGGCCAATGTTTGCAAATTCATTACACGCACTTATGTCAGTTCGCACTTCTGCCAGTTTTTGTAACTGTTTTGTACTTAATCAAATTTTGCACTTATGCCTATTCATAATATTTGCTGACCTGTTTAGCGCACTAATGCCAATTTACACTTTTTCCAGTTTGCAAGCTTAAACCTATAGGTTATCCTATAGCTTTAAACTTTAGTCCAGATAATTCTTTTAACCCAGATAATATTCATATATATGACTACACTTATGGTTAGTGTACATTTATGATCTGGACTACATTAATGGTTAGTGTGCTATTTTTTAATCAATAGATTAGATTTAATTAATAGATAAACTGTATCGTTAAATTAAAATCTAAATGTTTAATTACATTTAGATTTTATGAATAAAAAGAAAAAAATTTTAAATACAGTAGTTAATCATAATTTCATAAATTATAAGATATAATATTATTAAAATATATTATTTTTAGTTTTATGACAAATTCACTTATGGCCAAATCTAATATGGCAGCTGGAAAAGGCAAAGGATCTTTTTAGTCTAACCAAGCTATACAACTTAATAAAAGGTACGTTTATATATATATATACATATATATATATATATATATATATATATATATATATATATATATATATATATATATATATATATATATATATATATATATATATATATATATATATATATATATATATATATATATATATATATATATATATATATATATATATATATATATATAACTTTTATATATAAATCTATATATAACAATTATTAGGCTGGATTGTATTTCTAATTTACCAAATACTAACCTGTTTCCTTTTTTTCTCTTCTTCAAGCACTGTATATATATATATATATATATATATATATATATATATATATATATATATATATATATATATATATATATATATATATATATATATATATATATATATATATATATATAATATGACTAGTGCCGACTAGTGCCGAAGGGCAATAATTAATTATAAAACAAGCAGATTTTTTTTTTTTTTGAGTCTAAGGTTAATATGATTTAGAAAAAAAATCAAAAACATAGGACCAGTCAAGAATTAAGAATCCAAAGAGGAACCTCAAGATATCATCAAAATCAAAAAAAATTTTTTTTTACTTTGTTCTTATGAATAATAGACATCGATTCGTGTCTCAGGAAAATTTATTTTTTAACTTTTTTTTGTTATGAAAATCCCTATACACTATACACTATAATCAATATACATATATATATATATATATATATATATATATATATATATATATATATATATATATATATATATATATATATATATATATATATATATATATATATATATATTAGGGTGGCCCTTATAACAACTTTTCTGATAAAAACCTGCTCTCACCCCCTAAATGTGTTCTATCTAATCCAAAAACACTAGGTTTAAAATTTTTTTGAATAAAAAATATTTTAAGGAGACCCTCAAATATTTAATGGATCCCTAGTATTTTCAAAAAAAACGTTTTTCAAAAATATGTCAGCGTGGTACTCAAATGAAGCGAAATTATATCAAAATTTGAAAAATATATTCATTTTGAAAAAATTTCAACTTATTTATTAAAATGATCATAAAAAAACATAATTTTTTTTTTTTCATTTTATGTTAGAAAATGTAATTTTTTAAGTAATAAAACCAAAAATAATTTTTTTTTTTAAAAATGAATATTTTTTTGAAATTTTATATAATTTTGCTTCATTTGAGTACCAGGTTAACATACTTTTGAAAAACATTTTTTTGAAAATATTAGGGACCAATTCAATATTTGAGGGTCTTGAGGGATCCTCTTAAAATATTTGAGGGTCTCGAGGGATCCTCTTAAAATATTTTTTATTTAAAATAATTTTAAACCTACTGTTTTTGTATTAGATATAACACATTAAGGGGGTGGAAGCAGGTTTTTTTCAAAAAAGTTGTTTTAAGGGCCACCCTAATATATATATATATATATATATATATATATATATATATATATATATATATATATATATATATATATATATATATATATATATATATATATATATATATATATATATATATATATATATATATATATATATATATATATATATATATAGATATATATATATATATATATATATATATATATAATTATTTATTTGTTTATTGAGATAATGAGCCAATAAATTTTTGTGTAATAGTTGAAATTATAAATCTTAATAACACTTTAATAATTGGTTTATTAAATTAGTGTGGTATATCAAATGATAAAAAATTTAGAATAGTTAATAGTGGTGTAAATAACTCCATACTGCCAAAAATGGACTTAGCGCATTTTCCTTGTATACCCATCTCGTAAAACTACCGCAAAGCAGGATCGGCTTTAGGTTCAGGCGAGTTAGTCCAATCGTTTCGCCACGGCTTGAGATCCTACATGGGGAAAAACCATGTAGGATCTCAAGTTCATCTGACAGCAAGCACAGTTAGAAAACGCCTGCAGCAAGCTGATTTGAATGGGAGAATAGCTGCGAAGAAGCCTTTATTGCGACCTTATAACATTGCAAAAAAAAGAGTATTCGCGAAGTTGCACAAAACCTGGACTGTCGTACAATGGAATAAAATGCTATGGAGTGATGAAAGTACCTTTACTGTTATCTGTAGAGCTAAAAGAGCTTATGTGAGGAAAAGAGTTGGTGAATGATTTAGTCTTTTGTGTGTTGGTGAATGATTTAGTCCTCTCATACAGTAAAGCATGGAGGAGGCTCTCTTATGGTATGGGGTTGCATGTCAGGATCAGGTGTAGGTCATTTATATTGTTGTACGGGCACAGTAAACCAGGATAAATATTTGGAAATATAACTATTTGGTAAAAACAAACCATTTTTCTTTCAACAGGACAATGCTCCTTGCCAGAAAGCTAAAAAATAATGGAATATCTCAAACATGCTCGTACCAGTGCTATTGAATGGTCTCCACAAAGTCCTGACCTGAACCCTATTGAAAATTTGTATGAGCAGCTCTTCAGAAAAGTACAGAAAACCAAACCCAGCAATCTAGATGATTTGTGGCAACATTTGCAAGCTGCATGGCTAGCAATCCCTGTTGAAACCATCCAAAAGCTGGTACAGTCTATGCCAAGACTTGCACAGGCCGTGCTTGATGCACATGGAGGGCATACAAAATACTAGTCTTTTAGTCAGAATTTCTTATGTTTTATTAGTGGCGCTTATTACTGACAATGCAGAGTCATTTTTATTTCAATGTGATGCTGTTTTATTTATATTGTGCCAAAAATGAATAAACTTCTCTTGTTTTTCAACTGTGATCATGACTTTATGCCTCTACTGTATATAGGTGTATATATATATATATATATATATATATATATATATATATATATATATATATATATATATATATATATATATATACATATATATATATACATATATATATATATATATATACATATATATATATACTCATGTATATATATATATATATATATATATATATATATATATATATATATATATATATATATATATATATATATATATATATATATATACATATATACATATATATATATATATATATATATATATATATATATATATATAATATATATATATATTATATATATATATATATATATATATATATACATATATATATATATATATATATATATATATATTATATATATATATATATATATATATATATATATATATATATATATATATATATATATATATTATACTATAATACTATTATTATTGTTCAGATTGTCTGTTTTAAATATATAGTTTTTTTTTTTTTAGTTTGTGCATCGAGTTCTCACGAATCATACACAGAGTCGATTGTCGATGCAATAATTACTGATTCGTGAAAGCGGGCAACTTTTGCTTGTCTTAAAGTGCCTTAAATCCAACAGATATCATCGTTATAATATTACTTTGTTTGTAAATTGTTAAAAAAAATAAATTTAAAAATAACTTTTAACTAAATTTTTTATTTTTCTTGTTTTTTCAACTAACAGGTTCTTTTAAAAACTATTTAATAATAGTACCTATGGATTTGAGAATATTTTCTAAAAAATAACGTCTTTTAAAGGTTTAAAAGACGTTTTTTTATGGTTTAATTTAGGTTATTTAAGAACGTTTTTTAAACGTTTTTTTAGAACGTTTTTTAAACGACTTTTGTAGAACGTTTTTTAAACGCTTTTTTTAAAACGTTTTTTAGGTATTGCCATTCAGAACGTTTAAAAAACGTTTTTTTTCTTAGTTAAAAAAACGTTTTAAAAACGTTCATGTGCTTACTGGGTTGCAGTCTGGAACATTGAGTTAAAAACATTTGCCATAGTTACTGATTCAACTGATCATACAAAGTCTTCCGTTATACCTTACATTGACAAAATCCTTCACTTTATTCCTGGTCAAGTCAAAGAAATAATTGCAATCATAATGCTTTTGTTTTTAAACTGGGAAGTCGCATTATCAGCGATAATGCGACTTCCCAGTTTAAAAACAAAAGCATTATGATTGCAATGGTTGTGTTTGAAAAACATTTTCATAAAAAATTTTACTGGCATTTTTTTGTAGCAATGCACGGGAAAGGAGTGGTTATAGGAGTGGAATAGGAGCTACTGTTAAGCGAATCGCAGCCCTGAAAATTAAATCTAGTTAATGTGAGGTCAGGTCACCAGCAGATTTTGCGTTAGCATTACAAGATTTGCAAATATCTGTAATTCATGTCAGAAAACGATACAAGACAACAAAAAAATGAACTCAGTTCAATTTTAAGTTATTCAAGAAAAGTCAAAGATATATCAAAATCACATTATTTTTATGTTCAGAATGATAACGTTGTTCCGATGCTGTTTTCACCAGAGTATAATTAAAATTTATTATAAAATAACAAAACTTTTAAAAATGATTTTTATTCCATCTTTTGGTTTCGTCACTGAATGTTGCGTCACTGAACTGATAGTTTTTTTCTGACGGTAGTATGTTTTATGCTGTAAAATAAAACGATATAAAAACTAGGGTTGTTCGCCGAAAAACAAAACTTGCGAAAATTTCGCATCTTTATCTACCGTAATAGAATTGTTATTGCGGAAATTGCACATGCAAAAATGCACATTCCGTAACGCGCTATACGAAAATATAAAGAAATAAAATTCCGTAATAAGCATTGCGAAAGAAAACTTGCGAAACAAATCATTTCGTAAGAATACTTACGAAATAGTTCCTTACGGAAAAAGCATTCCGGAATGTGCAGTTACGAAAAAGACGCAAAAGATTTTGTTACGATATATTTAAGATATTAACTGTTAACAGTTTAAATAATAAATAATAAAATTATAAAAAAATGTTGTCAAATGATTCTTCAAATGTTTATACAAATATACCTAATATATATATATATATATATATATATATATATATATATATATATATATATATATATATATATATATATATATATATATATACAGGCGCGGATGCAGCATCTTTTGATATTTGAGATACCTAACTTCCAGACACGGAGCAAACTCCAAAAATTTATATGTTTATAGTTATATCAAATAAGGACGCTTTGCAAAAAATTGCAATGATTGGAGCCTCGGAACAAAAAAGCCCTAAAATTTTAGCTACACCTGCCCCAAACGTGAGAGCAACAAGTTAATAAAATTTTTTTTCTATTATTCTCAACCAAGTATATATTCATCAACCAATTTTAAAACTTACACAATAATCTCTTAGCGTTCAACAATTATGGCCTTATAAAGTTTGCAACCCCCTCAAATTGAGGGGGGTTCAAACTTTTTATGGTCATAGTTTTTGAATGCTAAAAGATTTTTGTATTAATTTTAAAATTTGTCGATGAATATAGATTTAGTTAAGAACAGTATAAAAATTATTTTATCAATTTGTTGCTCTCACGTTTGGGGCAGGTGTAGCTAAAATTTTAGGGCTTTATTGTTCCCAGGCTCCAATCATTGCAATTTTTTGCAAAGCGTCCTTATTTGATATAACTATAAACATATAAATTTTTGGAGTTTGCTCCGTGTCTGGAAGTTAGGTATCTCAAATATCAAAAGATGCTGCATCCGCGCCTGTATATATATATATATATATATATATATATATATATATATATATATATATATATATATATATATATATATATATATATATATATATATATATATATATATATATATATATATATATATCTATCTATATATATATATATATATATATATATATATATATATCTAAATATATATATATATATATATATATATATATATATATTATATATATATATATATATATATATATATATATATATATATATATATATATTATATATATATATATATATATATATATATATAGATATGTATATATATATATATCTATAGACCTGGGTCTACGCGGCCAAATGTCTTAACTGAATGAGCTATACGTTCATTCAACTAAGTGAATAGTAATGTTTATTTAATATATAATTAAGAAACTATATAAAAAAGAATTTACAGAAAGAGATACGTATGCAAATAGGATTCTATATATCAGGAAAATGAATAGTAATGTGAACCTTTAGAGGCTTATAATTAATATCTGGACTCAAAAACTAGTTACTTTTAATGGAACACAATAGGCTGTAGGAGCCTCAGGGAAGTTATATTCAGAAATGGTTATATTAGACTTAGAGTTAGCTAAAAATTATTAAAAAGTATTTAGGACAGATGTCTAGTACAAAAAGCAAAAGATTTAAAGCAAAATGATTTATATTATTTGAAAAAGTTGTTTTACGTACATTTCATCATAATTTAAGTAGAACTTATTAAAGCAAGGGAAACGTGTTAAATTAAGCACAATGAACTCAATCTTAAAAGAATAACTAACAGAAGAGAGGTTGTCACTATTGTGAAGGTGACGAAAGATCTGTAATATAGAACATGGAGGTCAAAAAATGCTATCTTAAGTAAAAAGAGTTTGATGTACAAAAGTTACAATGGCTGCGGGATGCGAACCCGGATCTCTGCGGCGAATTATCACGTATCTAACTGATTGAACTATACAATCTTATACTCAAATTTATATCTTATTAAAATTAAAAAACAATATTTTCTAAGATCTATACTTCGAAAAGCGTATTCAAACAGGACTCATACCTTCAAAATCTGCTAGAACTTTAGTAACGTGCACACTTTTAGAAATTATTGAACTAGGTATATTTTATCAGAAATATGCTTAAGCTAAAGCATATTTTTGAGCCTCTTTTTACTATTTGCTTAAGCATATTTGAACCTGTTTCAAAAATTTCATATGCTTTAAAAAAAAAACATGTATATTCCTACCCATCATTCTTATTTTTAATATACGTAATGAGTTCAAAAAACGTCGTTGTATATATTTATTATGACACGTTTCGTAAGTTTATTTCCGTTAAGAATTCTTTCGTATGTTGTGATCCGAAATACTTTCGTTTCGAAAGAAATTTTATTTTTTATCAATATTTCTAAAAATAAAACCACAAAAATTTAATAGTTATTATACTGAAAATAAAAATTCATTATAAACATTTTGGGATTTAAAGATGTTAATTTTTACAATTAAAATCAGTCTGGCAAACAAATTTTCTTTATAGACTTCAAAACGTCGTTTGGCGAAAATGTTTGTTTCGCAAGTGAAACTTCCGAAACCGCTACTTTCGTATGTTGCAAAATAGTTTTGTTTCGTATGTCAACTTGCGAAATGCTAAATTTCGGAAGTAGCTTTTGCGAAATGAACATCGGCGATTTTAAATGTTTTTGTAACATTCGGTACGAAAAAATGTAATTCCGTGTTCTCAATCTCCTTACGAAAGAATGTTGTTTTTCCGGAATTGCACGAAATCCTCCGGTTAACAACCCTAATAAAAACTTTGTTGTTTGCGGCTTTTTTTTATGACTGCCTTATTGCCAAACGAATAAATTATAATAAAGAAATCTAATTTCTCTAGCAAGAATTAAAATTTCAGCGAAAACTCCATTTAAAAGTACCCTAATAAAAAAACACTTTTTTCCGCGTTGCGTCACTGAACTCATGTTTTAATTTTTGCTATGTGTCAGTGTTATATTTATACAATTGTTTTTAATTTGCATTATAAAATTTAAACTTAAATTTAGAGTAATAAAAAAGTATTTTGGAGTTATAGAAAAATTTATATTAAAAAAAATCTCTCCGCATGATGCGTCACTGAACTATGGAATTGGCCATTTACATAAAACATGTCAAGCATATTTTATGTCGTCAGAAAGCAATTCTAACATGAAACTATGTCAAAATATTTAGGAGCAGCTGTGGCGCAGAGGTAACGCACATACGCCGCAGAAACTAAGGATCCCTGGTTCAAACCCCACCTCTCGGCAAGTTTTGCGACATCGGTTAGGAAAGAAGCGTAAACTTCCAATTACATGCTCATTCACTGTGCTCTGTGGTAAGACCGTAAGGACTTCTTGGGACACCTAAATAGAATTAAAAATATATATATATATGTTGACAGAAAACATGTCTGACATATTTCTGTTGGTAAAAAATAACTAAGACATAAAATTTTGTTAAAATATTTCGATAAGAAATATACTTGAAATAATTTATTTCGGCAGAAAATTAAGTCGTAGACATATTTGACAGATAACAATCCTGGCCATTGAAGTAATGACGAGTTTCCACTCATCCGTTTTTTCACGGGAACGGAAAAAATAATCACGTGAGCATGCGTAGTTTTCTTTCAGACATATTAAAAATTATTCTACGCATGCCCACGTGATTATTTTTCCCGTCCCTTTCCCGTTCCCGTAAAAAAACGGATAAGTGGAAACTCGCCTTAACATAATTTTTCATAAAATACCGCGTAGTTATCATAATTAAGCTAACCAATCACATTCCATTAAAAAAAAAAACTATTAAATGATATTGTTTCAAAACGTCAATAAAAAATTAAACTTAAAAAAATTGGTACACTTTATGTTAATTTTTTATAATTGTATAACTTACTAATATAGTTTACAGACATTTTTTTTATAATCTAGTGTTTTATAAACGACTAATAATAAATTTCTAGATTAGAATTGAATTAGTAAAAGTCTAGATTAGAGTTGCAAGTTGTTTTGCTAGGTTTACTTTAAGGTATTCTATATTCCTATATTCAAAATATAGCCACCTGTTTTTAAATCCGGCAAAAAAACTACAACGCAAATTCAAGTCCTGGCAATATTTAACAAGTTTGTTGCCAAAAAAACGCTTTTTAAAAAGCTTAAAAAGTATATAGCTAAAAGGAAAACAAACAGTAAGGTTCAAACAAGTAATAATTGTTGATTGAAACTTTAATATTAATTCATATTTTCAAGGAGTTAAATAATGATTGCTTTGCCTAGATCGTAATTTTGTTGTGGTTACTTTTTCATAGTTCAAACCGTTGTTAAAAACTTATCCCTTCACTTTTAAGAAAGTAATCCACTCTAACTACAGCTTTTAAAGCTTGCATACTAAATTTCAATATTTCTCATTCTCAACGCCAAAGTAAGATTTTGACTTGCCGCTGGAATACTAAAAGGAAAAGGAATACTACTAAAACTGTACTATAATTTTAAACAATTTTCAACACTGAGAATATAATTTCTAGTTGTTGCCGAATGATAAAACTAAGTGAAGAAATCCGAGCCGTTGAGTAATTAGATTGGGCGCACTTTAAAAATATTTAATTACAGTCATAGACCTTGAAAAAAATAATTTCATTGTTAATTTTGATTTATTAAATAGAAAAAATTGTTATTACAGTTACAGTGTACAAATTTATTATTCTAGATGTTTTGGGGGCCAACTTAAACGGTATTCGGCCCATTGTAACGTTGTTATATTTTTCAAAAGTTTATTTAGGTTGTCATAGTCAAGCTTTTACTTGAATCATAAAATTTTCCATACAGGTAACAAAGAAAAGAAAAAAGTTTTTTAGCTAGGGATTTAATTTAGTTTCAAATGCTTTGGTTTATGCGTTTGTATATGTACATATCTTTTTTATAAATATACATTTACTTATATATATTATTTTATACATACATCGTAATATTTATATATATATATATATATATATATATATATATATATATATATATATATATATATATATATATATATATATATATATATATATATATATATACTTTTTATACATACATCATAAATGCATATATGTATTTATCTTATTATGTATTATACATATATGTACAAATACATTGAAGAAACAAAACGTGGGTTTACGTTTGTTAGTGATCAAATGGAAACAAAAGTGAGCAAGTTTGATAGTACAATGGCAGAAATTAAAAACATTATTTTGGGTAAATAAAGCAGCGATTCAAATGAAAATAAAAGAAAAACAGCCAATCTTGAGGATCGAAACAGACGCAACAATCTATGAATTTGCGGAATCAAAGAAGCAAATAACGAAGCTTTTAATGATGTTTAAATAAAAGTAACCCTGCTATTTAAAGATGACCTTGAAATTGCGGATCCAGTGATTATAGAAAAAAACACATCGTGTTGGTAAATTTAATGGCAAGCCTAGAACTATTGTCTGCAAAATATTAAACTGTCAGGACAAAGAAAACATCTTATCTAACGTTCGTAAACTCAAGGGAAAGAATATATTTATTTACAAAGGCTATAGCGATGAAACAATACGAATTTGTCAAGAACTTTTTGTCTAAGCTAAAATACTTCGTGCTAAAGTAAAATACAAGAAAGTTATCTATAATCGATTAGTGATTAGAGAAATGAAAAATTAAAACGAGGGTGTTGAAAGCAAGTAACTTATTTATTTACGTTTTAATGCTTATATTAACAATGAATATATCTAAAACAATATATAACAATGAAGCTAATTTAAAAAAATTGATAGCCCCTTTTTTTAAAATTTTGATATATAACAAAATAATTACAATTTTTAAACTAAAATAGATATTAACTGCTTAAATAATGAATCTTATAAACCAGAAGAATTGAAGAGGGAAAAACTTGACAAAGATTTAAACATTTTAGGTGTCATCCATAAAGGACGTCACGCTAGGTTTAGCTAACGGCAAGAAGTCGGAAAATTTTGGGTCTCGTGTGCAAAGATTTTGAGCGCCTTGTGTTCAATAAAAATCTCCACGGAAGGGAGCTAATAAACTTGTACTTCTGGTTAATATTTGAATTCTGCATGATGTCTTTTATGGACGACCCCTTAAGTATAAATATACGGCCAATGAACAAAAGTTTTATAATGATTTATTTATGATACATGCGTTATAATGAAATTAATTTAAATGCATACTTTATTACTTTAACTAACACTTTATAAAAAGATTTTTTGCATCCATATACCCCTCCCTCCTCCTGTCGCCGCATGTTATCAAATTTGACTTGAACAAATTTTGAAAATTTAACAAAAAAACTAAATTTACAAAAGTATATATGTTATTTTCCTAAAAACTTTTATTAAATTCATTGCTTTTAGTAACTAAATAAATAATAAAAACTCGTTACCAACGCGTTGATCAAATAATTTTAATTGAACACAAGTCGTTGCAGCAAGACCCACTTTTAATGATTAAAATTAAAAAAACTAAATGGCAGTTTCAACACAATGAAGCGGCGAAATTTGTATAATGAACTTTTAAAGGCTAAGTGGGAAAAGAAGATTACCAGTAGAGTAGATATCGAGGCTGACACTAATTTCATACACGATCTTTGAAGGAAATGGAAGGAGAAAAAAAGAATTAGAACGCGGTTTGAGGCTAAGTACCAAAACTGGTTAGATGGTAATGTCAAACCTGTAGAGAACATTTAACCTTCAGATCCACCTGCTAATCCTGTTAATTAAATAATAATATATGTATATAATAACCATTTAGTGCAATATGTCTTCTATTCGAATGTATTGTTGTCAACACCAATATATGAATGTTATCTTTATTATGTCAATATTTAAATGTTTACAATTTTCTTCAACATAAATGGATTGAAAGTGGTATAAAACTATGCATCCTCAACAGTATTATATTTTAGATTTCCAATACTGCCAACCCATTCTTTTTATGCAAGACTGTATAATAATTATTAAAATTCTTTTGAAGTCTAGCGTATTAAAAATTGTATACAGACATTAAGTTAAACTTCTACTTGTAAAAAACTTGTAACTTTATGAACTTGTTTTGTTTATATGATTTCGCAATTCAAAACATTTTTATTTTTTTATATGGGATGTTAATTAAATGTTATTTGACCCTTAAAAACAATATTGTTCCAATAGCGCAAACTGGATTTTTTATTTTGCCATTACAGATTTAACACTTTTAGATGTTGCGCAAACTCCAAATTTAAGTATATTTATGTTAATGTCAAATGATAATACTTTCCAAAAAGTTGTGGTGATTGAAACCTGGGTACAAAAATACCCAAAATTTTATTACCCTTACCCCAAAAGTGAGGGCAATGAGTTAAAGAATAAATTAGTTAATTAAATTATATTAATTTTGACTACATTTGCATGTTTTAAATTTCATGAAATAATATTTTACATTTTGAAAGTTATGAGTAAATAAATTTCCAACATATATATATATATATATATATATATATATATATATATATATATATATATATATATATATATATATATATATATATATATATATATATATATATATATACATATATAATATATATATATATATATTTATATATATATATTTATATATATATATATATTTATATATATATATATATATAAATATATATATATAATAATATATATATATAACAATATGTTATATATATATAATTATATATATATATAACAATTTTACAATTATATATTGTCATGTATATATATATATATATATATATATATATATATATATATATATATATATATATATATATATATATATATTTATATATATATATATATTTATATATATATATATATATATATATATATATATATATATATATATATATATATAATATATATATATGTATATATATATATATATATATATATATATATATATATATATATATATATATATATATATATATATACATGACAATATATAATTGTAAAATTGTTTAATCAGCAAAATAAAAGTTATAATAATATAATAATAATGTAAAGAAGTATTATTAAACCAATTTTTATTGATGTTAATTTTTTTTTAAATAGTAAAATTGTTTTGTTAATGTAAGTAGTTTTTTTTTCCTTCCTTTATAACATAAAAACAAGTTTTATAATTTTATATCGTTTATATTAAATAATAAATCATTAAAAATTTATTTACATTCTATTCAATAAATCAAATCTATTGTTATTATAATCCCTTTTTAATGCTACTTAGCCAATTTTATATTGAATTAAAAGAAATAATTGTACAGTGATTATGTAAGAAAATTATATACGAGCAGTAAAACATGTAAAGCTAGAACAAAATGGAGATCTTTCAATGGAAATTATTTTTAATTTTTTGTAGTTTTTTAATTATGTATCTGATATTTATGCAAAATTCATCGTTCAAAAAAAGTTACAAAAAACCAAGTTTTTACCGTATCTTTAACCAAGGCTTAAATATTACATTCAACACATATGAAAACATTAGGCCAGGTGAATAAAATTGATTTTTATGTTGAATTTATTTTAACTTTGTTTTCTATATTTGGGATAAAATAAAATAGAAATACTCTTGGAGAAAAAATATTTTTATAGAAGAGATATTTATTTATAAGACTGAAACGGCGATCTATAACACTATAACTAGCCACGTATTTTACGTTAACTCTATAACTTTAAAACGCATACAGATTGATCCCCGTGGGCACAAGACGTGTTTAAGCAATAATTAAGGCGTCAAAAAAAAAAAAAAAGTATTTTATACGTCTTTAACACGTTTTGTATTTACTGATATGTAAAGCAATAATAATATTACTGTGATTCTACTTTATTATTGTATTAAAAGTAGTTGAAATATTTCCGTACATGGTTATATTAGAATTCTGCCATTTTAGAGTTTCAGTCGATTCAACTGAAGGTATTGCTTACATTAAGTAACAGGACGGTAAGCCAGTCAAAAGTATTTAAACTTTTTTAACTACGAAACGTCACTTCGGTGTAGGCATTGCAGAAACTTTTAAAACTTTTAAGCGAGGTTCGTAACTTAAATGTTAATAGTTGTAAAGTTCAGTTATACGATAATGCCGCAAATATGTTCGGAGAAAACCGAGGGATGCAAACTATGATACTTGTTTGCAGTTAAATTTATTTTCTATCGTGAAACTTTTGTATACGTTTTTTAACTTGACGCATCACTGAGATATCTTAAAATAAAACATAGGAAACGAAAAAGTACTCTAACGCGATTGCCATTAAAGCAGTTCTTAATTCTTTTAATGTAGTTTTGACACCATTAAATGAGTTTGCTGAAGCTTCCTCTTAAAAAATAAGCTGGAAGCTAAATGTATTTCAAGTAAAATAGGTACTTATTTATTTGTATTCATACTCGTATTGGAGCAATATTTTAAATAGTTTCGATCAACAAGCAAACTTTTTCAGCCCGCAAAAGTTGATGTCAAAATATTCGCATGGATGCCTTTATTATTAAAAAATATGTTTGACAAAAAGGAAGATAATTTTAATGAATTTGAAAACAAAGCAAACCAAATTTTGACCGCCATTGATTATACAGGTGTTACAACGTGAACTCGTCTATAAAGGAGTACTTCTAATAATGGGAATGCCTTGCAAATGATATTACCTGCTTGAGATTTTTTTTTTAATAACTCAACCTCAACAAGACTACAACACCCACTATTAGTCTTAGAGTTACTGAAAAACAGGGATGTGTTAAAGAGCAAGGAAACGGTTAGACTTAAAGAGTTGTAGGTTGTATAAGTTAGGAAAACGGAGATAAGAAAAAATTAAATTAGGGGAGAGTTCCAAAGCATTATTCGAGAAAAAAACTTGATGAAAAAATGTTTTTAGAGCACGAGTGGACAGATAGAGTAAAACAACGTTGCACGAGTGAAGCAAGAATGTCGAGTCAAGCGATAATGAGTTTTGGTTGATAGAAATAAATATGACATCTTGTTTGAACAAAGACCTTGATGAGTGTTAAAAAAAGTTGACTTTTTGTTAAGACACAAGTATAAAGTTGAGGTGTAAGCAGTCCTTAGCAGTAGAGCTACTTTAGATATAAGATTTTCAACAAGATCATTAATGTAGATAAGTAACAACAAAGGATAAAACTTTGTGGGACGCAAAAAGTTACTGAAAATGATGACTATCGACAGAGGTTTTCTAATTTAATTAAATTTTATTTCTAACATCATAAATAACTTTATCAAAAAAAAAGACAAAGGAAAATATTTTTTAGGGCATATTGTATAACAATATTGATTTCTTAAATTGTGATATCCTTTATAAGTTTTTGTAATTGTCATAATTATAGATGTAAAGAAAGATATGTAAAATATTTAAAAATAATTATAATGCATAGTATACTTCAAAAAAAAAAACAGATTTGACTTATTAATATATATATATATATATATATATATATATATATATATATATATATATAAATATATATATATATATATATATATATATATATATATATATATATATATATATATATATATATATATATATATATATATATATATTAGGGTTATAACTTTTTGCCTTTTTAAAAAAAAATAATTTCCTGTGTTATAAATCGATGAACTTTTATTAGAAAACATTGAAAACATGTTCAATTCCTCTCGGTTGTAAGAAAAGGTCGCCCCAAAATTCAAATTACGTTTCGCCATTTATTTAATCTTGTTACAGCTACTACTAATTCGTGTGGTTTTCCTGCAAATCATTTAAAACTTGTGTAGATTAGAAGTGTTTAGAACTTTAGAACATTTTGTAAAATAACAAAATATTTTAAAAGACTTTAGAACATTCTAGAACAATTTAATACATTCTCGAACAATTCAGGACATTCAAGAACAATATAAAATATTTTGGAACAATTTAGAACATTCTGGAACATTCTAGAACATTTTAGGCTATATATAGCTGCTCATCTAGTTTTAAAGTTAATACAGAAGCAACACATGGTATCGTACAAACCTAGCGATAGTAGCATTCAGAAGAACAAGGATGTCTTACCAATAATCTGGTAACTTTTGAAGACTCTCATAAAAGAAGAAGATTGGTTCCTTTGGAAGAATATTCACTGGAACAAAAGTGCAGAATGCCTCTCTAAAAGCAAATTATCGGACGCTACCATTTCCTTGGACCAAAAATCAAAGGAAAAAAGAAGCGAATAGCGGAAATTTCCAAAGAAGTCACCAAATTGTGGGAGAATAAACTGATTTTTCCTCATGTATCTTGATCAAGTTATACGAGCAAAGCTTGATAAAATACTGAAATGTTATGATGAATGTGTCAAGCGGGGAAGCTACGAACCCTTTGATGAAATTTTTGATATTACTAAAGTGGATGGAACATGGTTTTCTTCCGAAGACAAGCAATTGTACCATCACCAAGTGGAAAGTAAAGAAATAGTGGGATACTCTACAGGCTAAGCAGCCAGTAAATAAACGATCTATCCCTCTAAAAGACAAAAAATTTCTAATACGTCATCCAACTCATCATCTTACTATCCTGGTTTTAGTGATTCTGACCGGCTGACGACAGTGAATATGAAAACAATGAAGAAGAATATGAAACAACTCCTAAACCAAGCAGAAAACATCATAAAAGCACTGTTGCAGTCAACTTGGTGACCTCCACAAGAGTATCAACAAACAAAACTGCTAACATGTGCAAGCAATTGGCTTGTGAAGGCATTGGCATTCCAACTCCATGTCAATTAGCTATTTACAATTCAACAATCAAAGAGAATCAAGCTGAAGGAAAAAATGATTGAATAGTTGCATATGGAAAGTTGGTCCTTACACTTTGACGGCAAGCACATTGACAGAATGGATTATCAAGTGATTGTCTTTAAAAATGTCTATTTTTTATTGGCGTAGTGAACTTTTTTGAAGAGATATGCAAATAATAGTTCATTTTGTGCTTTTTTAGGTAAAAGTTCATCAAACTACAGTACAGGAGCATGGGTTGATAAAAATTCATAACCCTAATATATATATATATATATATATATATATATATATATATATATATATATATATATATATATATATATATATATATATATATATATATATATATATATATATATATATATATATATATATATATATATATATATATATATATATATATATATATATATATATATATATATATATATATATATATATATATACTTTTTTTTGTAATAGACTTTTTTTTATTTAGTTTTTTAAAAAAATTCTACTTTTATGTCTCCCCCCCCCCCCCCCCCCCACACACACACACACACACACTTCAAAACCCGTGTCGTCGGCCCTGTTAACTGGAACCTTCACTGGAACCAAGGGATCAAAGAAAACGGTTCGACAAAACGAATGTTAAAAATAAGCAAAGTAAAAAATCAGTTCTTGCTTTTAAGGGACTATAGAAAACACTTCGAAATAACAAAAGTTTGAGTTAACTGCTATTAGACTTACCAGGAATTAACCGTATATATTACCTATTTATAACTACTTTGGCTATATAAAGTAGGTTTTTAAAATTAAATTAATCTTTTTTCAACAGATTAGAAAAAAAAGTTTATATAGTTTTTCATGGTAGTCGATTAGTTTCTCCTATAGATTAGATTTTGAAAGGACATATATATATATATATATATATATATATATATATATATATATATATATATATATATATATATATATATATATATATATATATATATATATATATATATATATATATATATATATATATATATATATATACACTAGACGACTGATCTTACAAATCCTACAAGAATCTTATAGGATAAGATGCACAAGTCCCTGCAGGACCTACAAGAATCTTTTGAAGGATCTTGTAGGATTTGAAGGAATTATTATGAGATAATATAAGATCTACAAGAATATTTTAAAAGATCTTGCAGGATTAACAGGATTCTTATAGGATGCTGAAGGAAAATTTTAGATTTGTATATATACGGCCGTAGCCCTCCCCCTTAATCCAGCACTGGTTCCTATAGGAACCAGTGATAGATTAAAGAGGAGGTGGCTAGGGCCCTAAAATTTCGGGATTCCGAATATTAAGCGGACCTTTTTCTTTTTTTACTGTTTTAGTCATTTTTATGCTGTGGCACGTTAAAAAGGACTCCGGGCCCTGAAAAGTCTTAATACGCCAATGATAGGAACCATAACATTTATTATTTTATAATTAATATCATAAATCTAATAGCCAAACTAAGAACATACGAAGTTAGGTTTTTATTTTAATTGGAAGGAAAGTATGTTTATTCTTCTTTTTAATTACTGATAATAGGTAAGTTAAAGTTTAAAATAACATTTTCTTATTAAAAAAAATCATTCTGGTTAAAAGAAATTTTTCACATATTATCATTATTACAGAATCACAATTGCATTGCTGATTACTTTCGTTTTTTCTTCCTATCTAGTCCGCTCTGATTAAGACTTCGTCTG